AAAGTATTTGGTAATTAAGTCAACTCAAAAGTTATATAAATATTTTATATATTACTTACATATTTTGTTATTACTAATGGATTTTGTGTTTTTATTATGTATAAAATAGGAATAGAGAAGGGTGGCACAAGAGCTACATGCTCTTAATGTTTATAGCTAGATATTATCTCATGGGGGTATGACAAGCTGGAAGAGGACATGATGAAGTAGTCTACTACTTCTTTGGGTGATGGATTAGGGGTCAATTAGTAGATCTAACCTAATCATGATGCCAAACGAAAAACAACTCAACTGAGGGAATTAGGGGAGTACACAAATGACACCACTAGAGAAGTGTGGTACAAAGGATTGTAAGTATTTTGTACATGTTTTTCATATGTGGGATGGATTACTCATCACTAATTACTAACAAATTTATTGTGTTGAGGAGATTTAGAGGAATAGGTTGGTCAGGAGACCTTTGTTAAGGAGGGGCAACAAGACATTTTGATGGTTGCTGATGGAAGAGATTAGGAGAAGTGGAAGATGTAGCTTCTCCTTAGCTCTCCTTATGCACGGATCTTCAATCAAGGAGCTAGGACCGAGAACTTGAACACCTTTAGAAGAGGAATACGTGAGGATTAGAAGCTCTAATCCATTGACGGAAGCATCCAAGCACAATTCTCAAGGGATTGCACACTTCAAAGAGTAGGAAGCTAGGTTTCCTAAGGGAATTGAAGGCACTCTCTTAAGGCTTTCTCTCTTGGATGATTTCGGTGACTCTTGAGGGAATTTGGCTGAAAACAAGTTCAGAAAATTCTCATATATTCAAAAGTCATTACAATTTGTAGGAAAAACACTTTAAGTAGGGACGATTTTGGCACCTAGAATAAACTACACAAGTTGGCGCCTAAAATTTGAATTCAAATTGGAAATTTGAATTCAAATTTTGGTGCACATGGGTGTGGCCGTGAGTTTAGGTATCTAATGTGCATCTAGGTCTGATTTGAGAGTCATTTAGGGTTAATTTGAGTGTCACATGTTCAGCCACCAATTGGTGCAAAACATGTGACTCAAATGTAACTTAAATGGCTTCCAAATTAAACCTAATTTAACCTAGTTAACCTACTTTAGTATTTCTTGTATTTTCCTAATCTAATGACCTAAATACAATGGTCAAACAAATACAATGGAAAGGAAAAATTACAAGAATGAAAATGAGCCCAATATTGGGTACCAAAAGCCCAAAGGCCCATGAAGCCCAAAACTAGGCCCAACAAGCCTAAAACCTAAAATGCTACTCTATGTGGTCCAAAATACAAGACCAAAATATATGATACCTATACTAACATGATGTATACAAAACATATGAAAATAGCTATAACAAAATATGGCCCATGAAAAGTTCAACTTGGGCCTTCCTAGGCCCATTGGGCCCGATGGGCCCTGACTGGCCCAAACCTTCATGTCTAGCCAACTCCTCTTGGATCTTTGAGTATGTCACCTCTTGCACTCCAAAGCATGATTCCATCAGTTGCACTTGGCACTTAAGAGCATCCGGGACGTGGGTGTACAACTAGATGGGGTAGAGGCATACACGATATCTTTAGTCCTCCTTTAGCTATGTATATCATTAGATCATAGTTTACTACTAATGATTAGGCACACCTTAAGGCTAAACTGAAGGTGGAGGTGTTGAAAGACCTCAAAGACCAGCTTGCATCCAAAGGTCATACAACAACAAATTCTTTTTTCTTTTTCTCCTTCTCCTCCTCCTCCTCCTATTAGATCTTATGGGAGTTGTGCTAACTTTGACGTATCAAGGGAGGATGCAATTGAGACAAAACAACCCCTGTTGCAATTATTCATTGATGGCACATTGGAGAAGTTCGTGGGCATATGCAAGGTGCACATATGTTGGGGGTCAACCATCCACCACCAGGAGAATATAGATGATATGCTACAAGTGGAGGATGCTGACATTAGAGAGCATGATGCTCGAGTCCCTATGTCCACTATAGAGGTTCAGATAGTGGGGCAAGCCCTACGTACCTTTATCCTATGGCCATACAGGTTAACTAGGACCAATGTGGCTAAGGTAATCAATGTTTTAATATATTACATTCTAAAGATGTCTTTAATTAATTGCGTTTAACTAATTTAATTGTATATGATGTTTAGGTACCTTCTAGAAAGGAAAAAGTTTTTTGTTGTTACACGTGCAATAGCTTCTAAGCTTTCTCTAATCCATCAATTGGTCTTAACAACTATTGATATTGGGGGATATGATGTAAAGATAGACATCAACTCTAGAGGTCGTTGGTAGGGACATGCCTAGCTGTTTCTTTATCTACCAATGTGATGTCATGAACATAGTTTCTGAGGATAACCTTCTTTCCATATCAATGATGAAGTTATGGATTAGATGAGTATTATTTTTAATGGTTCTTAATTTAATATATTCAATTATACATTCTATACATTATATTTTTGTTCACAATTATAGGAATCTTTATCATGTGGCTGTGGGATTCCAAATTCCTTTATTTTGTTTTCATTGACCTAGTTGCCATCCAATCTATTGGTAACAAAGACATTGAGATGAGTCAATATTTGATTGACCGGTTTAAGGATGGAGGAAAAGAGGTGTAATTAGCACCTTATTTGAATAAGTATTTACGTTATATATAATTTTAAGTTTACAGTAACTTACATGTTTCTAACAATATTAAAAAATGTAATGCACATTAGCAACTCCTCGTGATAATTCCAAGGTAGTTTCAAGTAGTTTTCTTGTCTTTATTACACAAGAAAACTACAAATTTACCCATTAGACACATAATCGATTTTTAGGTATCTACTATCAATCTTTGTCAAATTTTTTTATACTTCCATGAAACAAATAAATATTTTATCATTTAACTATTTTTAATTTATCATTTGTTTTCGTAGGTCTTTAGAAATAAGCTTGAGGTTGCAGGGGCTTCCTCTGATAGCTAGGAAGAAGCTTCAATGTATTGTTTCCAAAGTAACTCAATTGTCAACCAAATAGTAGTTAAAGTTTAATTAAATATATTTTAAGTATGATTTATTTATATTTTATATTATAGTGCCCCCATCAAGCTGGTAATCATGAGTGTGACTTATGTGATGAAACATATGTCCCCTATCATTACCGACAACATTAGGGACTCATGGAGAGAGGTTATACATTTTTAATTCAAATTTATTACTTTAAATGATTATACAACAATGTAATGATCGACTAATGCTAATTTATCTCTATTTTGAATTAATTGTGTAAGTATTCAAAAATCCACATCCATTTTCCCATGAAAACTTCAAAGATATCTGCATCACATGGACATCTTCTTTAAGGCTATTCAGGATTGATTTATGTTTTTGTACATTGTTTAAGTCTTATTTGTGTACATTGACTACATATTTATGTTTTAGTTTATTCCTTATGACACACACACACACACATACATATATATATATATATATAGTGCTGATAGCTGTAGCTGTTTACTATTCATATATATATATATATATATATATATGTGTGTGTGTACGTTGTTCTTAATTAATGATAATTATTATTAAATTTAGGATTGATTGCTATGAAAGTTAATTTATACATTGTTTCAATTTAAATGATAGATATTGCATATATTATATATATTAATATTGAGTTGAACATGAATATGCTAAATTGATCTGTTTGGAATGTACTAGAATATATATTTGTTATGCAATTTTGGAAAAAATCATAAAACGAATAACATATTAAAAAATAATAACTCGCATTCTATAATGGATAATGTTGCACTCATCATAGAATGTGGGTGTCAATATATTAAGTCTCCATATTTCGTATTCCTTACTATAATGGGCATTGACCACCTGACATAGAATGTGAACATTCTATGTCGCACATTAACCCGTCATAAAATGTGTGGACATTTTATGTTATTGGGACCTATGTCAGATCTCGAGCCAACGACATAAAATGTCCAAAACATTCATCTTGGAATGTTTTTTTTGGTTCGTCCCTGGAGTATCCACTGCATAGTGGACATTTTAATGTTTGTCATGCATAGTGGATTTTTTTATTTAAAACCCTATTAAAAAATGTTTTCTAGATTAAGATTTGAAATAAACCATCTAATCAAATTGCTAGGAATAGAACTTAGATAATTGGTTTGAGAAAATAATACTCTTAATGCAAGTTTCTCCTCTCGAACATAGTGTTTTTTAGGAAGAAAAATAAAACTTAATATCTCTTATTTATCAAAAAAAAATTATGATAATCGATCAATTTTAAAATAAATAACCACATTTACAAAAATGTCACCTAACATCTACTAAATTAATTACAAAACAATCAATGTAATAGCTTAAGGATGTAAGCTATTCTTACATCACTACAAAAATGTTTCGTTTTAGAGTTGGCTCTTTCGGCCGACTCTAGATAATAAAAATCGACATAATATTGTCGGTCATTCGTCGGCTTTTGGCTGAAGCTAAATAAGTCGACACAATTTTTTTTGTGTTGGCTAAGTCGTGGGTAACAATTTTATTTATTTTAATTTTTTATTGTCGGTTAAGTCGACACTACGGCGACACAAAATTTATTTTTTTTTTTTCTTCATCTTTTTTTTCTAATTTATCATTTATTTGTTCGTAATTTTAGCATTACCGAGACTCGATCCTGAAACCTTAACGTGTTAAGGGAACTTGATAACCAATTGTACCATCATACATTATATATATATAAGATTAAAAAAATCATCTTTATCTCTCTCAAAGCATGTATAGTATAAAAAAAAATCATTATTCTTTAGAATAGTGTCGGCTTTTCCAACACTAAACTCAATTTAAATTTAGTGTTAGAAAAGCCGAAACTACATCTTAAAATAGTGTCAGCTTTTCTGATAATATTTGCGTCAGCTATTAGCCGACGCTTATTTTCTGCAACTATTTCATTGTATTCTTGTAGTGCATCCTTAAAGCAATCCTCAGTTTCTTATAATAAATAAATCATTATTGTTGACAATTAATATTTAAGTACAAAGCATAATCCCTTAATTTAAAGACTCGACAAAGACACGGAGCTTACACCATCACTCTTTAGTATCCTTATATTTTTTTCATGTAACAACGATTTCAAATTAATGACGACCGCAATTGCAAGTAGTAGCACAAATTTCTCTCATTCAGAAATTTGAATTTTTTCAGCACATATAAATGATTCCTTGCATCCTAACAGCTTGTTTAGTGCAACCAAATAAGCTTCAACACTGGAAACAACAACATCCATTCCTGTTCCAATCCCACTATAGAAAATAGAAAAATGTAATACATTAATTAGTTGTATAGGTATATAACATTTGAAAGAAAATGATAAACCTTAGCAATAAACATTATATGGATTTATCATACCTATACGTTGGATAAGTTATATTGAAAGCATAGGTAGATGTATGATAGTTCTCCCTACAAATTACAACTCGTGCAGTGGAAGTTACACTAATGCCTTCGGTGACTGAGTTCAGTGAGTATTCCAAAAGTTTTATAGGTTCCTTCATAAAATAGTATAAGATTCTTCTCTCATGCCAATAGTTCAAACAAATATTAAATATAACATAAAAATGCGTAAGCAATGTATAATCTAATTGACAATGATTTTGTATTTTCAACGTTACTCTTAAAGTAAAACAAAACTGTCAGTGTTTCGATACAAAATGACCATTAAAAATAAAGACCGTTCTAACTCTTAAACATTCTTCTTTAAAGCTTAGTCTTTGGATTTGGACTATTAGATTACTAAGTAAGAGAACAAACCAATGCATGTAAGGGTCTAAATGATTGTACATGCTAAAAGACCCACTAAAGCTTTTAAAATCAAAAGGACTTGGTAGTGAAAAGAAATTTGTCAAACTTCAAACCTTCACAATGAGATTAATGGCCTTGTAAGCTGAATCCACTGCTCCTGTACCAATTGAACAAGCAACATGTGTGCTGTTGTTAGTGGTAACAAGTTTGATTGTTGTTGTTGAAAGACCCATTGTACCACAAGTCATGACCTACATCGATAAATATTGACTAATATGTTTTATCTGTAATAATTATCTCAAGTCAAAACCCAATAAATTAAACATCAGGATTTCATTTAAGCATTTAAATATACTTGTAAATCACCAAGCTTCCATATAGGCTCTAAGTTAAACGCTTTATATGATACCAATGCTTTGAGGTCGGCATCAGTTACAACCTAAGGACACCAAAATTGAAATCCAAACATAAGAAAATATTTCCAACAACATGGATGCATATATATAGTCATCTTAGCATATATCATGATAATAAAATTATAATTAGTTTAAAGGTAAACACGCTTGAGATGCATTGACATCTTAAAGTACAACACTAAATATGAGGTTCGTTTGTTTAAATTTAAAAGAAAAGTGTTTCTATACAAATGTTTTAAAACTCTTGAAGAAGCAAATAGGAGTTACTTATTAAAAAAGATAAAAGCATTACTTATTTTAAAAAATAATATTTTTTTAAGCAAATACATAAAAATTAAAAAAAATTAAAAAAAAAAGTGAATTAAAAGTTTTTATTTTGTCAAAAAGAAAAAACACTTTTAGAAAGAAAAAAAATAAAGTTTAAACAGAGGATCCATGATAGATTTGCTTCGTGTAGGCATTGGGTTGCTCATGCTTCATGTGTTTGGATGTTTTGTTTCTATTAATGATGAACAATTGTCTACCATACAGTTATATTATTTCTTTACTATAGTCAAATAAATCTAGAGATGTGATTATTTGCTGAAAGGAAAACTTCAAAATAGGTTTATCCGAGCAGTATACAAAATAAATAGGTTAAGATCATAGCATAAATCTCCCTAATCAATCATAACATAACTATGAAATAGTAAAAAATTTCTACGAATAGAAATTAAAACATGATTGATATATACATGATATATATACAGAGATGATATGAAATAGAAATTTAATGTTTAAGCATATGATATAAAGAATATAATATTTTATAAAATTTCATGAATTATAAATAAATTTCTAATCATAAAGATTAAATTATAAAAATATTAAAAAAAATGAAAGATTAAATTTTTTTTATATTTAAAGACCTAATTGAAAATAATAAAAACAATAGATCAATGTATTAAATCTATTTGTTTTAGAAGAAGGGATTAGTTATCATATTAATAAACATTGACAGAATAAAGCTTATTGAATAATTGTTTAACGACCTTGGTGTGAACAGTTAGAACCCCATCAATGACCTTGGTCCATAATTCACGCAATAAACCCAAAACTCCGAATGGTAATATAAACACAGAAGAAAAGGTGTTCTGAATGTTGGATACTATTCTAGATAGATGGATGGTCTAAACCAATTGATCCTATAAGAAGTAATGCTTTAGGAGTTGTAGGTATATATGTAGGCCATGTTTAAGGGAGGTGAAAGATAAATAAGATGCAGTTTGCTGAAAATTAAGCAAAAATTAATAAAATATTTTTTAATAAATATATAGATAAGAATTGCTTCTACAAAAGAAAAAGTAAACATGAAACTATTCATTTAAAAAATAAATAATCTACTTGCAAAAAAAAAAAAAAGGAAAAGGAAAAGCTAATTTAGACAAACAAATAAAAAATATATTTTTTTATTAGAAAACAATAAAAAAGGAAATAAAAGTTTAAACACACGGGTCATAATACTTTCAATTTTTTTATTCACCTAAAAAACAAACCAATATTGATATCAGGTAGATAAATACTAGTAACAATATTTTTAAATATATTTTTTTATTATTACTTAAAATTTATTAGAATATAAAAATTTACGAGTATTGATTAAAGTTAATGCTTACACTTCGATAATAAAGAATGTATTAAAAAAAAATGTGTTGGAGTTTTACTCATATTTTTCTAAGAGGTATTATGTATCTTAAATTAACTTTGGTGTATGAATAGTGAAAATGACTAAAGCAATAGTAAGTTATTTGTAATTTTAACGAAAATATACCAGTGCATTGTAACACTAGCCGAATTAACAGTGACATATATATATATATAACATCAAATAGAATGAGATCCAACAAGTTGACAAATTTAACTAGCGCAAACTGCATCTAACTATAGGTTATATTCACACTTAAAAAGATAAAAGAGGAAAGAAAATCACTATTTCTTAACCTTTTTTTTCTCAGCCATTGATTTGAAGTGCGAAAACACACTATCGACTTGATCTTCCTTAAGTACGTAACCGAGCTGAAATAATAAAGAATAACTCACATTATAAAGGGTCAAATTCAATGTACTTTTAAGATTAACAACTTATTTAGATAGAGTAAATGAAAATTCTAAAGAATTCAAGTATAACAATTGAATTTCCTAAATTCTATCTTTTTCCTTTAGATACAATAATTAAATTTCATTCATTTTTAATATAATTTTATATTATAAAAGGTTCATTTTAATATAATTAACATATATAAGTTTATTAGAAGATATATAAAATAGGTTGTTATTATCGTATATATATAGCCATGATAATACAGCTAAATAAGAACAGATGGATTTGAGTATAAAAAAAAATAAAAAAAATAAAAAAAAACCAAAAGAACAGATGGAGAGAGATAATTTGTCCAACTAGAATAAGAACTTGTTGAACATATGCCGATGTTTTATAAAATCTATCGATCTAAGTACTAGTTTAAGATTTAATGATCTAATTATGGTCAACTTAATATTAATAAAATAATAATATTATTATGATTAATGAAAAATAATATTAAATATATAATATGATATATTTATAATACTATAATTAAATAAAATTAAATATAGATTCTTAACATTTAATATAAACATAAAAGTCCAAATTCAAAATAATATGATATTTAAGTATAAATATTAATTAAATATAATAATATCCATTAATAATATCAAATTTACATTTCAAATTAAAAGTGTCAAAATAATATAATTTAAATTATAAAAATTCAAGAAATCAAAAATTATAAATTAAATTACATAAATGATTTATTCCAATTTAATTTTTTTATTAAATATGTATTGCTAAAAGTTTTAAATTATATATATATATATATATATATATTTAGACAAGGTCAAACTAATTTTTTTTACACTGTTTTTATCTGCTTTTATTAATTTTTACCGATTCACACTAATTTTGAGATATATAATTTTCATTAATTATCAGATTAATTATCAAACTGATTATCAATTCGACATGTCAAATCATCTCGTCTAGTCAAATTTTCAAAACCATAATATATAGAAATTTAGAAAGAAGATTAGGTTGAACATCTTGTGAAGAAAGCAATAAGAAGCAACAAATATGGAACAAGCAAATAGAATCGTGCCAGGAGGAATGCTAGAATACCATTTTTGGTAGAATGTTAATATAGCCCATTTGAGCTATAATTTTTTTCTATAAATAAAGTAATAAATAGCGAAAGCGTATAATGGGTACTGTAACTCTTAGAAACAAGTGTATCTTATGCCTTTTAAAAATTATCTAATGGAATTGTTAAGAAATTCTAAATTCAACTTGCTAAAAAGCCAAATATGTTTTTTTCTTAATGGAAACCATTCAAAATTCTCTTAAAATTCGCATTATTTTCATAAATTCTCTTCTTAAACACACAATAAAACAAATATTTATTTACCTCTTCAAGTCGCTTTCTCAAAGCTTGGCGTCCACTACATCAATAGTTGTAAGAAAACCAATAAAAATGAAGAAAATACAAATCAGAATCGATTTGCACAAGGGCTAAGATACAAAAATAACGAAAACAATTAGTAAAGTTAATATAAAAGCCATGTCATTCAATAATATATAAATACATTTCTTATTTCTTAATTAAATTGTAAGGTTATTGACAGGTGTTAGTTATTCGAAACTATGACTACATTAGTATTAATTAAAAAAGATAAGCTAATTCAAAATACTATTCTATTCATCATAAAATACATTTATATCCAGCAGGACTAGATCCTGTGGATCAACCTCTTGCACAGGTAAGGACATGTAAGGGTGAGATTATTCAGTGCAAAAATAGAAAATATGGGCCAAAATATAATTTCTCATTCAGGTTGGTTTAACTCATGTGCGTTTGGGTTTGATTGGCCTATTGGTACTCTATCAGTTATTTAATCTCATTTTTACTTAACAAATTAAACGTATAGTTTCACGTAAAAAATAAAATGTTACAATAATATAATCAAATTAGATACGTTATATCTACTATTACTGCTAGTAGAACTTTGATTGTCAAATTCTGTAACATCTAATGTTTATTCTAGCATTAATAAATGAAAAATTTATAGTGTTTGTAGGAACATGTAACTTTTAATTAATTAATTAATTTATACTAGGCATGCAAGTATATCGCCACATATATAAGTATTTATAAATATATGTCATGGGTAGTGTTTCCAATGTTGTGCATATTAATATATTATTATTCATTTTGAACTTAAACTTTCATAAATTTATTTTTGATCATCACTCAAAAGACTTTATATTAATAGAGATTTTGAATAATTTATAAACTTATATTTCTCCTCATTTTCTAACAAAGTGAAACTTTGTTAATTTGTACCTCAACAATCATCCCCTTAAAAACAGGATCATGGTTTCACTTTCCCTTAACATAAATCGTCTTTTTCAGGCCACGAGTATACAATGGTGGCCAATACGGCTTAGTCATCATTACCAAGAAGTTTTAGATACTTACACCGTCATTAGTTCACATCAACAAGATACACCACTTGATCTTCACACCAGTAGGAAGAGTTTCGACATAAGGGACCCCTCATTTGGATTTCCACTGCCTTGCATTTCCTCATACTCGTTTGAGACAATTTCATGTCATTAGCTCTGATATCATTATTGTGCACTGAAAGTTTATACACATCTCCACATTGATAAGATATTATCCACTTTGGGTCTAAACCCTTTTGGACTTGCTTTTAATCATCACTCATACCAATGGTGACCTTGTGTGCTTTATGAATCCTATGTTTCTCCTCATTTCCTAATGATGTGGGACTTTCTTTGTACCCCAACATATAACACCCAACTTTTTATTTGAAATATATATATATATATATATATATATTGTTATTTGAATTATTTTAATTAAATAATAATTTTAGAATTACATACTAGAAATAAAGACGGCTTTAAAAACTATAAGGATAGTGAGCTAATGGTTTTTCTAAAGAAAAAAATAATAAGTGTTAGACTTTTGTCTATACGAGTCCAACTCATCCCTAAAGCTATTGGGATTTTAAGACTTTTTTTTTTGTAATACTCATCTTTTTACCACTTATAGAACCCTCATGCCACCAAATTCATGAACAACAGTGCAAAATGTTAGAGGAGAGATTGAGGACTATTATTGCTCCCTTGTCTTTGCTAAAGTGTGTTTCCATGTAAGGAGAAGCAAGTTATATCGCTCATATAAATGAATCAGATTGTGGTAGAGGGTTAGCCCTCGACTTGCAAATTTGTGTCTATATTTGTACCGGAAGGGTCCTATCAGCCACGTGGACCAACATGTGATGTCCTATCAGACTTCGACACAATTCTCGGCACGACCTCGGCTCGGCAGAGGGCCAAAAACTAGGGATAACCCAACCTTTTCCTATCGGTTCGACCAGAGAGGTTGTCTTGGCCGTGCCCTGTCGGCTCGGCCAGAGGTTGTCTCGGTCGTTCCCTATCGGCTCGACCAAAGAGGTTGTCTCGACCGTGCCCTGTCGGCTCGGCCAAGGACCAATAGAGAATAGTTAGGATGATAATCATGGTTAACGAAAGACAACACGCAATTAAGGCGTAACCAGCCGATTAACATCGTATTACCTAAATTGGTAAATGTCAGAGAAGGACCACCCTGCTCAGGCCCATGACAGGTAGTATAAATAAGTCACACGAAACGAGATATGTCACTGTTCATTTATTACTCTCGAGAATTATGCTTGTCCTGACTTGAGCGTCGGAGTGCCTTTTGCAGGTACCTCCCCCCTCTGAAGCATCAACCCGAAGCTCTCGTTCGACCCTCTAGTTACTAGAAGACTACGAGTGTGCCCTTAGACAGGTACATTTTGGCGCCCACCGTGGGGCCGAGCCGAGAGACTTAAGAAGACCAACTGAGTGAGAGCATTATGGCAAAGACAAGGAAGACCAACACCGAAGACCACCGATCCGAAGACGAACACCGATCCGAGGCAGACAATGCTGAGACAGTTGACGAGACAAACATGGCCGAAGTGGTACGACAGATGAAGGAGGAAATGGCCGCCATGAAGCAACAACGAGAGAAGGATGCTCGCGAAATGGCCGCCTTGAGGGAAGAGAACGCCACCCTGAAACACCAAAATCAAGATCCCACATGGAAACCCTCCGAGCCAACCCACACTCAGGGGTCATTCCACTCACTCGGACATCATACCTCCATCCCTCGTACTTCTGCCGCCGTCCCGGGAAACCATGCCTCGACTGCTCAGGCACCTGGCCGACCCATGCACAACGTGCCGGCCGGAGCACACCGACACCCCTTCACCCCAAACATCATGCATTCTTCACTTATTGATCATTGGAAGTCCCTACCGTTAGACAATTATGAAGGGACGACCGATCCAGACGAGCATGTCGACGTCTTTTTGACCCAAGTTACCCTCAGCACTACCGATGACGCTGCCCTGTGCCGAATCTTTCCAACATTGCTAAAGGGTCGATCATTAAGCTGGTTCACTCGACTCCCGGCCAACTCGATTGACTCTTTCAACACGTTGGCCTCCCAATTTACCATTCAATTCGCCACTAGCCGGCCTCATCAATTGACCTCCCTGGCATTGGTGAGCATTCGGCAAGAGAAGAAGAAATCTCTCCGGACTTTCATGAGCCGATTCAATAAAGCGGCATTGGAAATCCGAGACCTGAACCTGGCGGTGGCACTTCACCACCTCACCACAGCATTGAAACCGGGACCTTTTGCCAACAGTATCTGCAAGAAGCCACCGACCAACATGGACGACTTACGACGACGAGCCGACAAGTACATGCAAATGGAAGACCTAGCTGATTTCCGCAACCAAGCTCGAGCTGAAACTATGGGAGAGACAGAGAAGCTGATGTATGTTTGAAATGATGTATACACAAAGGTGCACTCTTTTCCTTGATCGGTCATTTCTACCCTTATAAATATGTGAAAAGGGATTCTACCCTTATAAGTACAATTCACTCTCATTCAGGACTTTCTTCTTTACTGTTTGCTCGAATATTAGCTAAGAAAGCTTCCCTCCTGAGTCGTCACTCGGCCAAGGACGTGCCTTCTAATTTCTCTCACAAGGCTTCCCTCTCGAGTGACCCACTCGGCCAAGGACGTGCCTTCGAATTTTGCTGAAAAGGTTTCCCTCCCGAGTTGCCACTCGGCCAAGGATGTACCTTCAATTTTCCTGATAAGGTTTCCCTCCCGAGTCGTCACTAGGCCAAGGATGTACCTTCAGTTTTCCTGAAAAGTTTTCCCTCCCGAGTCGTCACTCGGCCAAGGATGTACCCTCAATTTTGCTGATAAGGTTTCCTTCCCGAGTCGTCACTCGGCCAAGGATGTACCTTCGGCTTTCCTGAAAAGGTTTCCCTCCCGAGTCGTCACTCGGCCAAGGATGTACCTTCGACTTTCCTGAAAAGGTTTCCCTCCCGAGTCGTCACTCGGCCAAGGATGTACCTTCGATTTTCCTGAAAAGGTTTCCCTCCCGAGTCGTCACTCGGCCAAGGATGTACCTTCGATTTTCCTGAAAAGGTTTCCCTCCCGAGTCGTCACTCGGCCAAGGATGTACCTTCGATTTTCCTGAAAAGGTTTCCCTCCCGAGTCGTCACTCGGCCAAGGATGTACCTTCGATTTTCCTGAAAAGGTTTCCCTCCCGAGTCGTCACTCGGCCAAGGATGTACCTTCGGATTTCCTGAAAAGGCTTCCCTCTCGAGTCGTCACTCAGTTCGTCGTTCGGTTACCATTGAAAGACTCCTTCGGCAGCCTGAACCTGTTCGGCACCTTCGGTAGCCTGAACCCGTTCGGCACCCTCGGCAGCCTCAACCTTTTCAGCACCCTCGGTAGCCTGAACCCCTTCGACACCTTCGGCAGCCCGAACCCGTTTTGGCACCCTCGGCAGCTCAAAACCCTTCGGCACCTTCGGTAGCCTGAACCTGATTTGGCACCCTCGGCAGCTCAAACCTATTTGGTACCTTCGACAGCTTGAACCTGTTCGGCACCCTCGGCAGCCTCAACCTTTTCAGCACCCACGGTAGCCTGAACCCATTCGGCACCCTCGGCAACCTCAACCTTTTCAGCACCCTCGGTAGCCTAAACTTGTTCGACATCCTCGGCAGCCTAAACCTATTCGGCCTTCAGATTACGAGAAGATTACGTGTACCTCCCAGACAAGTATTCCCCTCTACGTCGCTTCGCTCCTCAAGGCTGGGGGGCTTGTGTACCGGAAGGGTCCTATCGGTCACATCGGCCAACATGTGATGTCCTATCAGACTTCGACACAATTCTCGGCACGACCTCGGCTCGGCAGAGGGCCGAAAACTAGGGATAACCCAACCTTTTCCTATTGGTTCGACCAGAGAGGTTGTCTTGGCCGTGCCCTGTCGGCTCGGCCAGAGGTTGTCTTGGCCGTTCCCTATCGGCTCGGCCAAA